CATGGCAGATCCATGTGACTGACTCACATAAGGAACCAAAATGGCCACCAAAGGTGGTAGAGCCATGTGACTAACTCATATGAGAAACCAATATCTCTGCCAAACATGATGGAAAGCTGGACTGGGATGAAATAAAGCTCTGAGAAGGTGATTCCCTTTAGGATACCTAGAGATAAAGACCATCTACAGGACAAGTGCAGATGAGGCTTTGAACTCAAGCAGACTCCCAAAAGAGTGAGAAAAAGCTGAACAGAATATCAGGGTAAACAAAAATTCAAAGGGGGGAAAAGCATATTAAACTCAAGGTCACATACATGCAACCTGAACGATCCATCCCATGACTGGGTTAACAACAGGCTCTCTGGCAGCTCTTAACTAACTCGTATCTGCAGTGAGTGACTGGAAACATGAAAAAAAAAATGGGAGACAAACTTGAGTCCTTAGGTGAGAAACAGAGACAGAGACAAAGAGAGAAAAACTGAGCCTAGAGGGCCTCACCTCCCCCTGGCTGGCTTTCCAAAATAAGTTACCATGTTCTGGGTTTCTGAAGTCTCCTTCTATAGGTATTTTATAGGTTCTTTTCACCCTGAACAAAGAATTGGACCATACAAGCAAATATGTAGTAGGTTTTACATTTATTAAAGGTAGAAAAATAAACATGCTGTGCAGAGTGAATGTGAGCCAATTACAAATAGGAAAGAAGTCCACTCTGCAATGGACCACTGCGAAAGAGAGAGTAGTGGCCAAGAGCTCAGTGGCAGCCATCTTTTACATCTCCCACTTCTCAGGCTGACGTCAGATCTAAACCATCCTATCAGAATCCTGCTTGCGTTCTTACGAGAACTGAAGATCATACTTTCTGATTGGTTTCAGGTGCAGCAGTTGGGTGCATGTCTCCTGGATGTCTGTGACTGATGAATCATACTCACTTGTCTAGCCAGTTTGCCATGCCCTAACTCCTGCCTCAAGGGGAGAGAACATTCTGTTGTCTTTGCCAGACCCTAGGGACTCTGGCTGTCCTCCCACAATGGCTGCTGGAGGCTTTCACGTGCTGCTGTCTCTCTGGGTATCTCTTCTGACTCTTTCTCCATGTAAGGGTCCTTCAAATTAACTTTGATCCACCTTAATAATCCAAGATCGGGCTGGGGATTTAGCTCAGTGGTTCTGCTGCCTGCCTCAAAAGCACAAGGTCCTGAGTTCAATCCCTG